GCTGAAGTACCAACGTGCATTCTTCAGCAGCCTGACACTTAAGCAGGCCTGCACCCTCGGCCCATTCACAAGCTGCCAGCCCCCCAGAAACATTCAAAGGGGCTTCTGTCTTTCTTCCTCCAGCAAAAGCTCTACTTCCTGTAACACCCCTTTAACAACTGGCCCTGGAGGCGTCTTCCAGACCTTTACTGGAGATGTGGTTGAGTTAATTTAGCTGTGAAGATAATGTGCCTGAAAAGCAGGCCCAGAGCAGTGAGGTGCAACTCTGCAGTGTTTGGGAAAGTTGGGTGCCTATAGTCGTGGAGAATCTGCTGATGTGCACAAGGCTAATCATAGTCTTTTTTGAACCATGTGCTGCTACACAGAACTTGTCAATACCAAGTGTGGGTTCATGGTGTTTTAGGTGGGCTAAGTCTGCCCCACCCAACCTGGCTGAGATGATTCAGAAGGGAAAGCAGCTGTTCCTGAAGCCTGAGCTTTTCCTTCCTCTTCGCCAGCACTTCAACTTTGTGATGCCCATGTTTACTCACAGCTTTCTGTTGTCCTAGCCCCTTTGCTTTTCATTCCTTGTCTGCAGCTGGGAGGGCCAGTACTGCATGAACACCCTGATGTTTGGCCTTGGTCTTGCACCTGGCTCAGCTCATCACCTAGACCAGGCAGATCCATCCCTAACCAATGTCCCTTGAGCGCACAGGTGACCGCTTTCTCTTGTGGCTTGACTTCTGCCTTATTTTATTAGTTCCTGCCTGACCAACCTGAATGAAGTGGGCCAGGATAGCATCTGCAAGATGGACAAGTGCTGACAAAGGCCCTACTGTACTTGTGCCGCATTTTCCAACTCTGCAAAGCCCAACTGGCCCAGCTCACACTTTTCTTGGGGGTGACACAGCAAAAGAATGAGAGAAAAAAATGCTTTTGCACTGCACTGTGGAAGAGAAAGGACTGGTACTTGGCCCTCTCTGGGCTGTTACCAGATTATCACTGACTCACAGAGGTTTGAGATGGAGTAGCTGCAACCCACCTGGAGTTAACAAGATTGCTTGCGTGATTCCACCTGCTTTTCCGATTGTCCTCTGCCATCAGTGACAGATTTGCAGGCCAGATGGTTGCCCTGTGTTCCTGAGTCAATCTCTGGGCAGCTTTGACCTAACCACTTCACTGAGCCTCTTGCTGCCCCCGAGGCACTGCTAAGCCTTAGGGCAGGGGGCCAGTTCACTGTCCCTCAGACCCGTTGGAGGGGCAGACTGTAGTTTAAAAAAAAAAACACAACAAATTCCTATGCACACTGCACATATCTTAATTTGAAGTAAAAAAACAAATGGGACAAAAACACCCGGCGGGCCGCAGTTTGAGGACACCTGCCTTAGGGGATGGGTACATTACATGTTGGCAACCAGCCCTGGAGCCCCAAGTTCAGCCTGCACTTCCTGCTCTTCCACCTTGTTTTACACTTCAGTCAGGTGGCTACTCATCAAGCACGAAGCAAAACAAAGCCTGGTGGCTGGCCCTGTGCACTCCTCCTTCTGCCATTGGCAAGCCTGGGTATAATCTGGTCCACTTGTGTAGGGGAATGTCAGCCAGAGCAGAGGAGGCCAGGAGAAATGAGACCAACATTCAGGGAAGACCTCACACGGCTTGAGGAGGAATTGCTGCTGTGACAGGACCATCAGCTGGCACCACTCTAGAAGCTGAGGCTCCTCCCATCAGCACTCTACCAAAGTGCTCAGGTGAACAGTGTGCCACCAACACGTGATTTTAGCCTCTAGATCACCAGGACCAATAAAAGTTTCCAAACGAGACTCCTGAAGAAATCAAATTGTGACTACAGTTTGCTTCCATGCCAGGTAAAATGAGGGACCCTTTTCCAAGCTGGGCCACAGAATTCCATTTCTGCAGAGATGAAGGTCCTTCTGTGAGCACAGATGCTTCCTGAGGAACTTCAGCCTTAAATTCCTTAACTCCCAGACCCTCAAGGTTATCTGGCACCACCACATTAGCTGTCTTGTCATGGCAGTACACTCATTTTTAACCGGCATTGCCAGCACAACCAAGCTGAGGAGTCTGATCTTACCAATGTACACTGTACAACCAAAGATAGTCTAATGCTTTGTATTGTCAATAAAATCAACTATTTAAACCTTTTAGTAAAATATATATGTTACAAAACAAAAACCTGTCAATATAATTTCACACCCATTAGCATGGCTTTTTTCAAAAAAGGGAATATAAGTGTTTACTTATGTTGTAGAGAAATTGGAACCCTTTTTCCCACCCCTGCTATACTTTGAGGGGAAAATAGTATGGGACAGCCACTTTGGCAGTTTCCAAAGTTAAACACACAGTTTTCATGTTACCCAGCAACTTCACTTCTAGGTATATTTCCAGGTGAAATGAAAACATATGCATAGGAAAACTTAGTACATTACTGTTCACAGCGCTGTTAGTCATAATGGCCAAGATGTGAAAACAACCCATATGTTTGTTAACCAATAAATAAGATAAATAAAATGTGTAAAATCTTTTTCAGCCATAAAAATTAATAAACACTGATACATGCTACATCATAAATGAACCTTGGAAAAATGAGTAGTGAAAGAAGCCAGTCATAAAGACCATATGTGATATCTTTTATATGAAATGTCTAGAATAGGCAAATCTAAAGGGGCATAAAAGAAATAAAGAGTGACTTAATAGTTTTTTTTAATGGGGCTAGATGAGTAATAAAATATTCTGGAATTAGGTAGTGTTTATGATTCCACAATTTTGTGAATATGCAAAACCAAGTTAATTCTATACTTTAAAAGAAAACTATTTGAATGTAGATTTTATCTCAATAGCTGTGTGGAAGTTAACGTAATCTATTGTCAATTTGAGACTATTAAAAGTGAAGGGGTGGCAATTCTACCTTACAAATCCCGCTAGACGAGAGGATGTACACTGGTACAGATAAGAACTGGAAACACAGGGAATCAAGGACAAATAAACCCCTCAGGACCAATAATGAGAGTAATGATACCAGAAAGGTAAGGGGAAGGTGCGGGAGAAAGGGAAATGATCACAATGATCTACATGTAAGCCACCCCCCTCCCCTGGAGGACAGGCAACAGAAAAGTGGGTGAAGGAAGACATTGGATAGTGTAAGATATGTATGTTAGTCTGGGTGCATTAGAGAAACAAATCCACAGAAACTCATATATAAGAGAGAGTTTTATATGAAGGTTAAGTGCACATCAAGAAAACATCCCAACAACCCAGTACTGCCCAAGCCCACAAGTCCAACATTAGCCCATATGTCTGACACCGATCCACAAAATCCTCCTCCATTTCACAAAACACGCACTGTGACACTGACTGCAGGAGGAAAGCGGAATCAGTGAATGTGTAAGCATCTCAGCACTGCAGGGGGTCTCCGCACAGCTGCTTCAGCACCCATATCTGCATCGGGATAGGTCTATGTGGGATGTCTTGCAGGAAGTGAGCCTTGCCAGCGGAAGCAGGGAACTGCTAAGGCAGCTGCACCCTGGTCCGACCATCATAAAGCAAGAGACCCGAGAACTAGAAAGGCGAGGCTTACCGAGCCATTTATCTCTCTGCCCTTCAGGTAGCCCCACGTGTTTATCGGCCAGGTTGACACAATAAATTTTAACTATCTACGGGGAAAAAATAATAATGTATAAATTATCAAGGGTTTGTGAGGAAGAGAGGGAGTGGGGAAAATGAGCTGATACCAAGGGCTCAAGTAGAAAATGCTTTGAGAATGATGGCAACAAATGTTCAAATGTGCTTGACACGATGTATGTATGTATGGATTGTGATGAGTTGCATGAGCCCCCAATAAAATGATTTAAAAAAGAATGAAGGGGTGGTGTTTATCCTGTCAATCAGGTCACTGCTTGATGACCTCATTTGGAGGTTCTAAGGAGATAAATAGCACAGTGGAGGCCAGGCCCACAATCTCTGCTTTGTCTTCCTGCTGACAAGATACATGGAGCTATGCTGATGGAGCCAGAGCCCTGGAGCTGGAGGAGCCACGTGAAGACCCACGCCAGTGCTGAGATGCTTTGATTGCCACTGGATCCACAGGACTTTCCACCCACTGGCCTGTGATCTTCCTGTATTTGGCATCATTGCATGTGTGGTGTGAGTCTAAAGAATTTATAGACTGGTATCAGACATATGGGTTAATAGTGGACTTATGGACTTGATCTGGACTGGGCTGGTGTGTTAGTCCAATAGACTAGAGAAACAAATCCAGGGAGACTCATATATGTAAAGGAAAGAGCTTTATATACAAGAGCAGTTGAATATTAAGAAAACATTCCATCCCAGTTCAGATCAAGTCCTTAAGTCCGATATTAGCCCATACGCCCATTACTAATCTATAAAGTCCTCTTCAGACTCATGAAACACATGCAAGGACACCGAATCCAGGAAGATCACAGGTGCAAAGTATTGTGGATCAAATGACGGTAGTAGCATCTAAGCACTGGCAGGGGTCTCCATGTAGATCCTCCAGTTCCCAGGCCATGGGGTCTATCAGCCTTGTGCCATATGTCTTGTCAGTAGAGCGTCTCTCAGAGAATGAGTCTTGAGTCTTGTCAGTAGAGTGTCTCCAAGGGAGTGAGCAGAGAGAGGTCTCCTGCCTCCAAGGAGGAATTATAGGAATTCCCATAATCCTCAGGGGAAGGCCATGCCCACACAAAGGCCTCATTGGCTATGACCCAATTGACAGACTAGACCCCACCCCTTCATTCTTAATCCTCTCAAGTCCCAAATTGACACCAGATTATGTTAACTACCGCAGCTGGGATATTTTCTTAATATACAATTACTTTTTATATAAAGCTTTCTTATACACATTAGTATCTATGAATTTGTTTCTCTAGTCAATCCTGACTAACACAAGCAGTAAGTTTTAAAACTATGTAGTATCATACATAGCACTATGTATGTATTATTCCTAACATCTCTCCTGAAAACAATGCATTTTATTTTTCTTGCAGCAAAATGGTTCACCAAGTTCCAGAAAACATCAGTTTTCCTGCTGAAGAGGAGAAAATCTTGCAATTTTGGTCCAAATTTAATTGTTTTCAGGAATGCTTAAAGCAGTCAAAACATAGACCACGGTAAGCAGATTTCTATGGTTTAAAAAAAAAATCTCTTTACTCATTTTTGTATTCCCAGAGTTTTATAGCACTAATAACGGGTACCAGCAGTATATGCCAAGTGAATTAGTTCTAAGTTAATGGTAGATTCAGTTTTTTTAATAGGCCATAGTTTGGATAGTACCCTCTTTCTCTACAATTTTGTTATCATCACTACTACTTTTTAGACCAGGGTTGTTCATACTTTTGCAGCATGTGAGCTACTTGTAAAATGATCAAGTCAAAGTGATCTACCAACTACAAAAATGCAAAATAAATATATTTTTATTTATTACATTTATTCATAAATGCATTGAGAATTCTTTATATGTATAATATACGTTTATGTACCTTGCATAACCGCATGAGTTCATTATTGCACAACACAACACAAGGAACTATGTACATTTTTGGTCATTACCTGAGTTTTCTCTGATGACTTGCACTGATTTGAATGAGCCAGGGACACTGAATGGAATGAGCCAGGGATGCATAGTCTGGACAGTAGCTGCTGACAGCCAGCCTCAAGCACACTTCCAAATGATCATTCATGGTGGAATGGTACTTGGACTTAATGATCTTTATGTGGGAAAACGCTGACTTACATAAATAAGTAGAGCCGAAGAATGCAGTCAAGGAGGTAGCACATTTTCTCATGTTTGGGTTCTTTCTCTCTGCAAGTAAGTTCTAGGACAGTTCTTGTGCTCTGGACTTCAGCTGAATGTCGGCTTGTAGTGTCAAAATCTCCCATTCCGTATGAAAGTGATGCATTTTTGTCTTCTTACTTGGTCCAGCTTCCCCACTCCCTTTAATCCCCTTTCTTAGTTTAAGAGAAAAAAACCAAGGTCTAAAAATTGGTGATAACTTGTCAGTTTTGCTACATTTAGCACAGTTGTTTGCGCATGCATTTGGCACGTTAAGATTGGATCTGATTGGCTGCGCTATATGCTATATATCAGATAAGTGACGAGATTGACGATAGGTTTACGTCTATTTTTTTAATCCCATGGGATCTACCCACACTACATTTGCAATCGACTGGATGATTGTGATCGACATGTAGACCCTTACCACATACTTAATTTTCAGAAACTTCTTGCTGTTTTCTAATTCCATTGTGACCTTAGCTATCTATAGAAAAATGTTTTCTATATTTTGCTTTCTTGTTTTAAAGTGACTTAATGTAATGATTTTTATTATCTGTATTAGATTTACCTTTTATGATGGACCTCCTTTTGCAACTGGATTGCCTCACTATGGACATATACTTGCAGGGACAATTAAAGACATAGTTACAAGATATGCTCATCAGAGTGGATTTCATGTTGACAGAAGGTTTGGATGGGATTGCCATGGTTTACCTGTGGTATGTTTCACTCTGTAGCCTTATAGTGTTCTAGTTTGTTTTTTTTTTAAAGCACCAGATTTTAAATGTGAAAATATGATGGATTTTGACTATATGTCAAACTTTTATTTTTATAAAAATATCACATGTCATTTCCTGAGAACTGACTTTTTAGGTCTGTTTTAATGTCTAGAATTATTCAGTTATAATCATTTAATTGGGCAAGAATGTTAACAGTTTTATCACAAATTTTCAGGAATATGAAATTGATAAGACACTAGGAATCCGAGGACCAGAAGACGTGGCCAAGCTGGGAATTGTGGAGTATAACAAGCAGTGCCGTGCGATTGTGATGAGGTATTCTTCTGAGTGGAGGGTACGTGGTGTTTTGTTATTTCCAGGAAATGAATAAAACTTAAGTTTCTAAATAGTAACTGACAGTTTATGATCCTTTGTATCTTTATAAGATGTGAGGTGTGGTACAAGAGAATTGACAATGTGTATATCAAAGAACGGGTCTTTGGCTTCCTCTTACAACTGTTTTAGCTTTAAGTGATTTCTTTGCTGAGTCGGTTTTCGCTTTGTAATGATATCCCTAGTCATAGGATGTGACAGGATCCAGATCTCCCTCAGAAGCAGCTTAGCTTGAATATCACAATTCAAAAATCCAGATATTAAAAGAAAATTGAAGTTTGGACCCATTCTTGTAATAGTAATTTGACTC